AATGTGATAAACATGTTTTAAATGTCTTTTTCAATAAATTTCAGTCCATTAATATACCATGTTTTTCAGGGGCATTGATTCAATCTATTATTACATTAATTACATAGAAAACCCCCCTTTAAAAAAAAAAAAACTCTTATATATTTGTATGATCTTGGGAAATCTTGGGAAATTTGTTCACCACATCTTGGGAAATTTGAAAAAAGTGAGTGGCAGCCCTGTCAGAACATCAGACGTGCTGTACCGCGGAGTGGAGATTAAGCCGTCGGTCACCTATCAATCAAACACAGCAATGTATGTTTCTAAAAACCCATGATTGAATCTGTTTGATGGTTGTCTACGTGGGGATGTTAATGTGTTGCAGTTGGCTTCACTCCTGGCCACCGGTGGTCAATGGTTTGAAGAGATAAGACAGGTATGTTTGGGTTTTTTCTTTAGGGTATAGCTATTTTAAACGTCATAAATTTAGGATTAAGTATTATCATATGTCAGAGGTGAGTATTATCCAGATATTTAGGGGAGTATTGTGATATGTAAGAAGTGAGTATTTTCATGTTTTTATGGGATTATTGTCATATGTTAGAAGTGAGTATTTTCCAGATTTAAAGAGGAGTAATGTCATATGTTAGAAGTGAGTATTCTCCAGTTTTATAGAGGCGTATTGTCATATGCTAGAAGTGAGTATTTTCCAGTTTTAGAGAGGAGTATTGCCATATGTTAGAAGTGAGTATTTTCGTTTTAGAGAGGAGTATTGCTATATGCTAGAAGTGAGTATTTTCCAGTTTTAGAGAGGAGTATTGCCATATGTTAGAAGTGAGTATTTTCCAGTTTTAGAGAGGAGTACTGTCATATGTTAGAAGTGCGTATTCTCCAGTTTTAGAGAGGAGTATTGCCATATGCTAGAAGTGAGTATTTTCCAGATTTTGATGGGAGTATTGTGATATTTCCGGATGCCATTACTTCATATCCATTGGCCAGTACAGTAACAGGTCAGAAGTAATTAGTACAGTAATATGTCAGGGGTCAGTATTGCAGCGAGGCATGTCCAATCATAACTTTTCTTTACCTGCTTAGAAAAGTACATCGTCATCAGGGCTTCTAATTTGATTTTATTGTCAATCGGAAAATAATTTTCATAATTTGGCATTAAAGGACGCAGTGTTCCTGTAACATTTAAATTACTTACTGGTATCTAAATTTACTTACTGGAATCTAAAAGTGCTTACTGGTATCCAAAATTACTTCCTGGAATCTAAAAGTGCTTACTGATATCTAAAAGTAATTACTGGTATCTAAACGTATTTACTGGTATCTTAAAGTACTTACCAGTATCTAAAAGTAATTACTGCTATATAAAAGTAATTACTGGTATCTAAAAGTACTTACTTGTATTTCCTTCTTCTATATATTGAGGGCCCACGATCAATTTATTGATCATTTTTGGCTCCTATGCTTATAGAGGGGATTTGCAATGTTTCTGTGCCTGGTGATGATGAGGACATTTCACTGATTGCCAGTGCCACTTTGTGAGGGTATCATGCACTGGGGGTTGGAAGGCCCGAGGCATCTAAAATACTTAGTAGTATCTAAAAGTACTTACTGGTAACCTAAAGTACTAACTGGAATCTAAAAGTACTGACTGAAATTTGAAAGTGATTATTGGTATCTAAAAGTACTTACTAATATCTAAAAGTACTTACCGGTATCTAATAGTACTTACCGGTATCTAAAAGTGTAATGATTAACATACAAAAACATGTGACTTTGTTTCTCCCCTACTTTCTCAGACTCTGACCAATCGACTAGTCGTAAATTGATTACTTCCATCACCTTAGTTAGGCATCTATCCAAGGCGCAAAATTAGAAAGCATACATTTCTTCCGCCATGTGCCGGGCTCAGCAGAAATACGCGTGGCTCTGCAGAAATATGTGGGGCTCTGCAGCAATACGCGTCGATCTGCAGCCATACGTGCGGCTCTACACGGGGCTCTGCAGCCATATGCCGGGCACTGCGGCCATAAGCCACTCTTAGAAGGAGTATTGCTCTTTAATGACATGCGTGGTAAAAACAAAATCCTTTTTTGCTACAGGCATACTTTATAATACTACATTGCTGTACATACAGTATAACCAATACAGGAGGCCAGAGTAATCAATGCATTGATCGTGGGCCCTCAAAATATAGAAGAAGAAGAAGAGGTAGAAGAAGAAGAAGAGGTAGAAGAAGAATTAGCTCAAAGTTTACACTCCTTAAATGTGACCAAAAAAATCTCTAGCCCCCATGAGATAAAAGTCATTTTAAATAAAAATAGAACAGTATGTGTGGGCCGCGTGAAGAAAATAACGGAACAAGATATGTGAAGGATTGAAATAAAAAGACAGGAGATTCAAAAGAGCTTTTACCCGCCAATATCTCGTGTGTTTCTTGCGTATTTGACATCTTTATAATTAATTCTCTTTCCCCGTCATGTAGAAAAAACATGTAGAATTGAACATTGATTATGTAAATATTTTTTTTTTGGTAAATATTTTTTTTTAACTTTTTTCTGTAAAACATTAAAAAAAAATATGTAATAATTCATAGAATCAAATACATCCTTGTTATGGTTACCGTAACCATGCCGACAAGGGAGGCTACCTGCTGTCTCGTCGTCCTGACAACGTTGGCCTGCCTCTACGGTGAGGTCCTGGCATTCAGTGATGGGTCCAAGCTGGCACAAGGATTTTCCGCCACCAGGAGCGTCTACTGCCACAGGTAAACCAAGGAAAATAGGGGCATCGTTAAATTATTGTATCACTGGCTGATGCCCTCCATAGTACTCGGCGGTGTAAGAATATGGCTTAATCGGGTGCTGTTGTTTTTTTTAATACCCGATTCGGGTATTTTGAGAAAATGCCTGGTGGGTCCGAGTGTCTCCAAAAAAAAAAAAGAGTTAACTTCTTATAATCTATAAATAATAGTCCTACATCCCACCTGCCGGTCTTTTAACCAATGGTCCTACAGGCAGTCCTAGACTTTACCTGCCGGTCGTTAAACATTAGTCTCTTTAAAAATAGGTTTTTAGGCAGTCCTGCACCATAGCCGTGGGTCTTTATTTGTTAATATGATAGTCGCCTTTGACAAAATTTAGCTTTTTTACCTGGGTTCCAACGTCACGCATGACGCTCGCTGCTCTACAGATATTTGAGTAGGGGAGGGCTGGTTGGGAATAGGAAGCAGCCACACCACAAGCGTTATATATATATAAGAGGTGATTGTAAAATTACTGCTAGTTTCGGAAACAGTAACTCACTTCTCAAGGATAAATAATTAAGAAATGTGATTTAGATTGTGTGAAGAGAGAGAGAAAGAGAGAGAGAAAGAGAGAGAGAGAAAGAGAGAGAGGGAGATAAAGAGGGGTGAGGTAGGGGAGAGAGGAAGGGGGAGGGAGGGGATGGGGGAGGTAGAGGAGAGAGAGGAGAGAGACTCGGCAAGACAGACAGAAAATCAGACAAAGCTAAGAGACATGAAGAGTCAGACAGCCAGAGAGAGAAAGATAGATGAGGGTAAGACAGAGACAAAGCGAGAGAGAGACAGACAAAGAGACATAGACATGATATACAAAGTGGGAGATATTGAGACAGAGAGAGTTGAGGGTAAGGCAGAAGAGAGAGAGATAGAGTTGAGATCAAGAGTGAGAGAAAGTCAGTCAGAAAGAAAGAAGAGAGGCGGAGATAAAGAGTGAAAGTAAGAGAGACCTGCTGACAAGACAGAGAGGGTGAGAGATACGGGTGAAGACTAAACAGTAAGAGAAGAGAGAGTGAGATGAGGGCAGGACAGAGACAGAAGAGAGAGTGAGATGAGGGCAGGACAGAGACAGAAGAGAGAGAGAGATGAGGGCAGGACAGAGACAGAAGAGAGTGCGGGCAGGACCGAGACAGAAGAGAGAGTGGGATGAGGGCAGGACAGAGAGAGAAGAGAGAGGGAGATGAGGGCAGGACAGAGACAGATAGAGACAGAAGAGAGAGTGAGATGAGGGCAGGACAGAGACAGAAGAGAGTGAGGGCAGGACAGAGACAGAAGATAGAGTGAGATGAGGGCAGGACAGAGACAGAAGAGAGAGTGAGAAGAGGGCAGGACAGAGACAGGAGAGAGAGGGAGATGAGGGCAGGACAGGGGCAGAAGAGAGAGTGAGAAGAGAGCAGGACAGAGACAGAAGAGAGTGAGGGCAGGACAGAGACAGAAGAGAGAGTGAGATGAGGGCAGGACAGAGACAGAAGAGAGAGTGAGATGAGGGCAGGACAGAGACAGTAGAGAGAGTGAGATGAGGGCAGGACAGAGACAGAAGAGAGAGTGAGATGAGAGCAGGACAGAGACAGAAGAGAGTGAGATGAGGGCAGGACAGAGACAGAAGAGAGTGAGGGAAAAATGTAACGAGAAATGTAGAGAGAAATACAGAGAGAGAGAGAGAGAGAGAGAGAGAGAGAGAGAGAGAGAGAGAGAGAGAGGAGGGAGAGAGAGAGAAAGAGAGAAAAAGCAGAGGGCATGGCATTTAACAGCAGTAATAATTTAACGTTTGTCGCGAAAAAAGTGAGAAATAGTAAATTATTTTTTGATATGTATTTTTCTTTCATAAATTAAAAAAAAAAAAAAAAATTATCAACTTAAATGTAGCTTTGCATAAACTGCCATCTTTCTTTGGGTTGCCAGGTCCACCAACAAACGACAACCTCTTCACTTCAACGCCAAGTGTAACGGCTACTGCGAACCCAACCGCCAAGGTGACCTTTACTACGACCTGGAGGTCAGCGCGTCCAGCTACTGGCTGGATATCGTAACAAGTAAGTGACCAATTTGTGGGTCAATTTACGTTTTAGAAAAAAAAAACTGCTTTAGGCATAAATTAGGTTACAATAAAGAGGGGAGTAGAGTATTATAATAACTGTGCTTCTCAAAACTCATAATTTTCCACGTTTGTCTAAAAATTAAATTTTGCTAGAACTAAAAAAAAACACTAAAAAAAAATGTTATTTTTGTGAATGCTCGAAAATTTATCAAAAATTTTTTGAACTTTTGGAATAACATTAAAAAATCCCACTCCTGATAAAAGATCAGTATATTCTCAATTTGGGTGCTGTGCCACAAAGCTTGCGGAATAGAGTTCAATACCCACGTAAGCCCAGACATCACACCGGGTGGGTGGGACTTGTTAGACTCAGATGATAACTCATCTAAGAGCAGGCAATCGCTGAATTCAAACCCGGAGATGGGGGTCCCGTGGGCGGGTAACGTTGAGACAATGAAAATTCCGGAAAAACCGGTGACGCTGCTGGTGCCACGCTGTATCATCTACATAAGATCTTCTCTTGGTTGTGATTTCGTCATCCGATGTCTACAGCATCGTCACATTGTGTCGGACGGATGCTAGAAAAAATCTCAAATACAAGATTTCAGTATGTATTATTCGATGTAAAAATTATGTTTTTAAACATCCAATGACCTAGATAGTGATAGTGTTCGTCCCACTCTTTCAGTTAATATAACCGCCAAAGAAGACTCTGGGAGGTCTGTCACCGGCTTCTCAATCTATGCTGTCGACGAAGCGGACAAGGTGGCCGGCAGCTTCATCGAGGACGATGACCACATCCTGGTGGGCTCCTGCGGCAATCTGCTCACCTACAACCAGGAGACGCACGGAGCCTTTCACAAGATGGCCGACCGGAACCGGAAGAACATCACCTTCCAGTTTCAGCCCGATGGATTCAATCATGGCGAAATTAAATTTGTGTGAGTTCATGGGTCAAGAAGGTTTTTTTTTTTTTTAAAACAAGTTCTAAGCATGGGGTAAATCTACGATTAAAAATAATATATTAGAAATGCTTTTGTTTCGAACGTTGAATCTGTTATAATAAATGAATTTGTATGAGCATTTGTTATATATATACATATATATATATATATGTGTGTGTGAGTGTGCGTGTGTGTGCATGTGTGTGTGTGTGTGATCGCTGCATGTATGCAGTGGTTTGGGTGCACGTTTCTATCATAGCTACGCCATTTATGTTAATTTCTTAAACCACATTCCAGAGTTTGGGTTGTAAACAATCAATCGGATATCCATTACCTGGAATCACCTCCCCTGACACCCAGTAAGAATGGTGAGTAGCACTCGTTGGCGCAGATATTTGCAAGCATTCAAGGAAATTTAAGAATGTTCTTATCACCTTCATTTGTAAAGGGGAATAGCTTGATATCCGTGACATCAACTTTAAAATTATTGGAATTGTACCTCTTGCCAAGCCGTACTTTGAAATAAAATTCTTTTAAAACGTAAATTGTGGTTGGGGCTTCCTGTCGATATCTCTTAGTAATTTGTATATATTGTCTAGCGCTTATATTTCAGCATATGTTGTGACAACCTTAACAAACAACTTGACAGTTGTTTCAAAGTTTGATGTGGTGGTAAGGTGGGAGGGGTGGGGGAGAGCAACGTGGAATATTTACAGTCGGATCATTGACATAATTAAACTATTTCATTATATGTTACCAATTGTGAGTATTTTTATTATCATCATTTTAAAAAACGCATCTCTTAAAAATACAACCCCCACAGTGTTGCCTTACAAGAAAAATGGGAGTGGGGGGGTTGGGGGGCAAGACACAAGTAGGGTGGTGGGGCGTGGACTGTAAATTAAACAACCGTCATTGTTTCTAATCTATTGAAATGCATACAAGTATATCAAGTATTTCAAGCACATGAAGTATATAAGGTATATCAAGTATTCAATGTATATAATTTTCAAAAAGTCCCTTAAAACTCACCTGTTTAGGTCCGCCTATGACCTGTGATGCACCCTCCTTGCCCTGCCTCATTTTCTGTTTCAGGTTGATCCTGAAGTATAGGCCAAAACGTGTCAAAGTGTCCTCGTTTTATAGCCATTTTCATTGTTTCTATAGTATAGTAGTTACTATCCTAGTGTCTCATTTTTATTTTACTTAGTTTACATGTTTTTAATAATTGTAAAGCGCTTAGAGCTTTATGGTAAGTGCTATATAAAAATGCCTAAATAAATAAATAAATAAATATCAAGGATATCAAGTAGATCAATGTATATCAAGAACACCAATTGTATTTCGCGAACTGTAAGTTGTGTCTTTCAACTTTGAAAATCGAGGACTTAACATGCTGCCAAGTGGTGCCGCCAAGTGGTGCCGCCAAGTGGTGCCGCCAAGTGGTGCCGCCAAGTGGTGCCGCCAAGTGGTGCCGCCAAGTGGTGCCGCCAAGTGGTGCCGCCAAGTGGTGCCGCCAAGTGGTGCCGCCAAGTGGTGCCGCCAAGTGGTGCCGCCAAGTGGTGCCGCCAAGTGGTGCCGCCAAGTGGTGCCGCCAAGTGGTGCCGCCAAGTGGTGCCGCCAAGTGGTGCCGCCAAGTGGTGCCGCCAAGTGGTGCCGCCAAGTGGTGCCGCCAAGTGGTGCCGCCAAGTGGTGCCGCCAAGTGGTGCCGCCAAGTGGTGCCGCCAAGTGGTGCCGCCAAGTGGTGCCGCCAAGTGGTGCCGCCAAGTGGTGCCGCCAAGTGGTGCCGCCAAGTGGTGCCGCCAAGTGGTGCCGCCAAGTGGTGCCGCCAAGTGGTGCCGCCAAGTGGTGCCGCCAAGTGGTGCCGCCAAGTGGTGCCGCCAAGTGGTGCCGCCAAGTGGTGCCGCCAAGTGGTGCCGCCAAGTGGTGCCGCCAAGTGGTGCCGCCAAGTGGTGCCGCCAAGTGGTGCCGCCAAGTGGTGCCGCCAAGTGGTGCCGCCAAGTGGTGCCGCCAAGTGGTGCCGCCAAGTGGTGCCGCCAAGTGGTGCCGCCAAGTGGTGCCGCCAAGTGGTGCCGCCAAGTGGTGCCGCCAAGTGGTGCCGCCAAGTGGTGCCGCCAAGTGGTTCTACCAAGTGGTGATGCCAAGTGGTGATGCCAAGTGGTGATGCCAAGTGGGGTCGCCAAGTGGTGCCGCCAAGTGGTGCCGCCAAATGGTGATGCCAAGTGGTGATGCCAAGTGGTGGTGCCAAGTGGTGATGCCAAGTGGTACCGCCAAGTGGTGCCACCAAGGGGTGATGCCAAGAGGTGATGGCAAGTGGTGATGTCAAGTGGTGATGCCAAGTGGTGATGCCAAGTGGTGATGCCAAGTGGTGCCACCAAGTGGTGCCGCCAAGTGGTGATGCCAAGTGGTGCCGCCAAGTGGTGCCGCCAAGTGGTGCCGCCAAGTGGTGCCACTAATGGTGCCGCAAAGTGTGAGATATATCGTTTTGAAAGCCATCATGGAGGCCGTTTTCTGACGTTACTGCTTGTGCGTTTAAAAAGATCTGGGAATTCAACCTTCTTGACACTCAGGTGTGAAGTGGGACTAAAGAGGTTTGGAAACATCGCTCTACAATAATCTTACACTCTACAGTACACAAGTGGAGCTGAAAGCTTCCACTCCTACCACACCCCAAGCCCTTTGTATGAGCTGTTACCGAAGAGGAGCTGTGATTGGAAGTTTCAGCTGCAAGGCTTAAGACAGTAAAGAAAGTATTGATCCATCTTGGACCCGATAAAATATGTTCCAGTGCTATGTGGTATACTCCACTCATCTCTATGTAACTTACACTTAGATCAATCATATCATTTGTCTCATGGTAGATGTCACGTACAAATGTGCAAAAAATAAAATTCTTAATATTTTATTGCAGGCACAGACGCCCTTGACCTCAAGTCAGTCCTCCACGGAATGGTCAGCGACGTAGACATCAACTTGTTCGAGGACTCCTTCGAGTACCGCAAGAAAATGGGCTACCGCCTCGACCTGGAGGACCCCTTCTCACTGTTTGAGAGCGATCCGGGCGCTGTGGAGCTGGTGCCCCTGAACACAACTGATAACAGGACGTCGAAGAAAACAACAGCGACAACAGCGGCAACCTCTTCCGCGAGCACCACTGCAAAGCTGGAGATAACGACAGCAGCAGTGTATGTCTCCACAAATCATCAGGACGATATGTTTTCAGTTAACGTGGGCATGAATGGTGCAAATAACGTGGGCATGAATGGTGAGAATAACGTGGGCATCAATGCTGCGAATAACGCGGGCATCAATGGTGCGAACAGCGTGGGCATGAATGGTGCGAATAACGCGGGCATCAATGGTGCGAACAGCCTGGGCATGAATGGTGCGAATAACGCGGGCATCAATGGTGCGAACAGCGTAGGCATGAGTGGTGCGAACAACGCGGCCAAGAATAACGCACAGTGGGGCGCTAGGGACATGGCTTTGGAGAGTAACCTGGTTATGGGTGACGTCAGCGGGACACCACAAGGTGGATGGGGGGACCTACCACAGCAGCCGATGAACCCAAGATTTAACGTCTTAATCTAGCATGTAAATGTAGCACTAACATATTATACTGTCATTGCTGTCATGTAGTTAAACCCAAAATGTTGAAATAGAAAGAAATTGTTCAAGGACGATGTGTAGGGTTCATTGAATTAATTTGTTTTGACGCGCCACTGAATTAAATAAAAAAAGCAAACTGAATTTAAAATAAAAGTTTAAACAAATTTAAAAAAAATTTGTTTTCATTTGATTAATTTTAATAAAGGTGAAAATAGGGAAGGATAAGATAGATTACATTAACATAATGAGAAAGAACAACATGGTCACGGTCTTGCAAAAAAGGGGGAATAAAAGGTTTGCAAGCTCTATGGTTTCTTTGGACAGGAATAAATCACAAAAAATCTCAATAATAAAAGTCAATTAAAACCATCCAAAAGAAGATGTTTATTGTTATCACAGTATATTCGTGGCTTGAATAAAGTTAAAGGTTTTCTTTACAATTTAATTAGATTTCTCTTCAGGGGTTCTAATGTTGGAGACTAAAAGCCGGCGTCAATTTTACCTATTTTTGACGTCATGGAAAATGTATGCTATTATAGCTAAAGAGCAAAACAAACTTTAAAAGTGTTTTGACACGCTTGCGCGTATAAGAGGGAGTATTTAAAACCCTATAGGGTGGTATTTGACCCGATGGCGTAGTGAGTAGCAGGATAACAGTAGTGGCATGTGATACGTTTTTCTGGACCCGATGTGAATGCTTTAATGTAAAAAAATTAGAGACCACTCTGTCAAAATTAGAGCACACTCTGTCAAAATTACAGTACCCATTGTCAAAGTTAGAGTACACTCTGTCACAAATTAGTCTACACTCTGTCAAAGTTACAGTACAATTTGTCAAAATTGGAGTTTACTCTGTCAAAATAATAGCACACTTCGTCAAAATTAGAGTAGACTATGTCGAAATTAGAATAAACTCTGTCGATATACTTTTTATTGCCGAATCAAACCACATAAAAAAAAGAAAGAACCAACTTGGTGCCTTATTTGTAGGAAAAAAGTCACAGGTTGAAAAAAGTCACAGAAAAAAAAGTCACAGCAGCATTCAGCCATCCGATATCATAAACAAATTTTGACAAGAGTTGTGGGATCCCGTTTCCGAATGGGATCCCAATGGGGATTCTGACAACATTGGGATCCCGACCCCATTGGTATCCCAATCCCGGTTGCAATCCTGACCCCTTTTGGGATACTGATTTTGATTGGGATCCCTTTCCCTTCATGATCCCAATTGAAATTCTGACCCTATTGGCATCTCAGCCCCATTGGATCCCGATCCCGATTGGGATCCCTTTTTAAAAAATGATGAATTTTTTCCCGCTTACCATAAGACACAGCAGGCCGCACAGCGTTACGCAAGGAGAGCTTAATGTGGGTCACATGAACAGACGCGTAGCGAGGGGGGATCAGAGGGACAGATGTCCCTAGGCGCAAGCTAGTTAGGGGCACCAAAATTTGCTTTGATATTATATTTTTGGTAAAAATAATGGTTTTGAGAGTTGAAAAACAGAAAAGGGGCGCTTTAAAATGGATCTTGTCCCCTGGGCGCGAATATTGTCCCCGGGCGTCAAACACCCTCGCTACGCCTCTGCACGTCAAACCCCCCTGGCTGATGCCTTTGTTTATAATTTGGGAAAACAATCGCGCTTATCATGCTTTGCCGTCTCATCTCATTAGGCGTTACATTGGATGTAACTACAACCTAACCCGGACCTACACTCTATCTGTCATGGATTAGGAGACTAAAAATAAAAACCGGGGATTCCCTGGCGCGACACCGAGCTCTGACACCCATAAAAGCATAAAGATGACGCACGACATGAGATCAAAATAGATTTTTGTCGTAAAGCTTACCCTGAACACGCCGATGTGATTCAGGCGAACTCTTGTTTACGTCGTTTATTTTTGTACACCGAGTCAGTCCACCCCCACCCCCCTCAACTTCCTGACACCCCCCCCCCTCACACCGCTTCGCATGGTGTATGCAAACATAAATCAGTGGGACTCACATTTCTATTTTTTAAAAAAAATGCGCTCAGAATTCTCAAATTTGTTATTTATAACACACACACACACACACACACAAATGAATGTAGTCCAGTGAGTTTTATGAAAGAGTTTTAAACCAGTGGTTCTCAGCCAGTCAACGCGAGCAAAAGGGGGGATCCAAAAAAAAATTAAAAGGGAGAGGGGTAGAAACTACACGCTGTTAAATGGACTTCTTTTCAATGTTCTTGTTACCTGTGCCTATGTTAAAGTGTTTCTTGTTACCTGTGCCTATGTTAAAGTGTTTCTTGTTACCTGTGCCTATGTTAAAGTGTTTCTTTTTACCTGTGCCTATGTTAAAGTGTTTCTTGTTACCTGTGCCTATGATAAAGTGTTACTTGTTACCTGTGCCTATGTTAAAGTGTTACTTCTTGTTATCTGTGCCTATGTTAAAGTGTTACTTGTTATCCGTGCCTATGTTTAAGTGTTACTTGTTATCTGTGCCTATGTTAGAGCGTTACTTGTTATCTGTGCCTATGTTAAAGTGTTACTTGTTATCCATGCCTATGTTTAAGTGTTACTTGTTACTTGTGCCTATGTTAAAGTGTTACTTGTTACCTGTGCCTATGTTAAAGTGTTTCTTGTTATCTGTGCCTATGTTAAAGTGTTACTTGTTACCAGTGCCTTGTTAAAGTGTTACTTGTTACTTGTGCCTATGTTAGAGTGTTACTTGTTACCTGTGCCTATGTTAAAGTGTTTCTTGTTATCTGTGCCTATGTTAAAGTGTTACTTGTTACCTATGCCTATGTTAAAGTGTTTCTTGTTATCTGTGCCTATGTTAGAGCGTTACTTGTTATCTGTGCCTATGTTAAAGTGTTACTCGTTACCTGTGCCAATGTTAAAGTGTTACTTTAAACACCAATTATTATTGACACGCGTGATCTCACCTCCCAACCCCTTCCCCACAAATCCAAATAAAAATATCCCGGATGTTTGAGTTACACTCGGCCCGGGAACATTATGTCAACCCCACACTGTGATGGAACGATGGTTAGATAGTTAAAAACGTAAACATTCATCTATTTTATTAAATGTCTGGAATAATTAGAAATAAAAGCCCCATATAAAAATTATTATTAAAAATATGTGTCTGAGTGTGCATGTGAGTGAGTGTGCTTGAGTGAGTGTGTGTGTGAGTGAGTGAGTGTGTGTGAGTGAGTGTGTGTGAGTGAGTGAGTGTGTGTGAGTGAGTGAGTGTGTGTGAGTGAGTGAGTGTGTGTGAGTGAGTGAGTGTGTGTGAGTGAGTGAGTGTGTGTGAGTGAGTGAGTGTGTGTGAGTGAGTGTGTGTGAGTGAGTGTGTGTGTGTGAGTGAGTGTGTGTGAGTGAGTGAGTGTGTGTGAGTGAGTGTGTGAGTGAGTGAGTGTGTGTGAGTGAGTGAGTGTGTGTGAGAGAGAGTGTGTGAGTGAGTG